TGATTTGCAAAAGAGATGTATTGTTTAGAAAAAAGTATCCGACACTTCACAGTAACATACCCAGCCAGCACAAACCCTTCTGTTTCCACAGAAACCTGAGGACCTCATTTGTATGTTTCGTACGACCTCCTGAACACAATGGAAAATGGAAGCAAAGGTCAGTGTTAAGTCTCCCCTGGCTTTTGTTCTTTAAAACAACAATATTGTATTGATCTGTCCTGAATGATAAACACAAATGTGTTGGTAAAACACAGTCTCTTTTGACCTTTAGCAATTACTTCTACATGGCTTTAGCGATACTGTGGATGAAAAAACTATGTTCAACTCATTTTCCTTTCTTTTTTTGGTTTTCTTTTTATTTGCAACAGTACCTACACATTAATCGAGTGCGGCTGGCATACATAGTGAAGGATTTGGGTTAAATTTCACAGATGCTGCTCATTACAGATCACAGTGATTGCATTATGATGACATTTTGTTATAGCGGATTTACATCTGATCTGATCTGAAGTAACTCTAATGACAACAAACTGTGCATCAGCATTACTGCTTCAGTAACTGCTTGTTACTGGATGTTTTACCCAATGAGATGCCCTGTGGAAATTAAATAAAACTCCCTGTTGTGACAATAGCTACGGATGATGAAACATATTTAGGTAGAATGGGACTCAGTAGGCCCTTAAATCCAATCATGCTGCACCTACACACCCATAGATATCAGCCACCCTACATATGCACACATACACATTAAGATCCATGACTTACTCCCAGGGAAAAGATTCAAGATTTAAGAGGTTTTAATGAAAGGTTTAATGAAATTGTGTTTGGTAGCTCTCTGCTATAAAAAATTGTGGAAATGTGGAAAAACATTCCATCATGCAATGTTAAAGTAAGTGAAAAAAAGATTCCTGTATCCACCCCCTGATCCGGATGGTTTAATGGTGGTTTCCTGACCCCACTACATCTTTCCACCAAGTTTTCAGGAAATCCATTCAGCTGTTCTGTGTTATCTTGCTTACAAACCAACAAACAAATGAACAGAGGCGAAAGCATAACCTCCATGGTGGTGGTACCATATCAAACATTAGGCATTTGTTTCCTCTATTGAACTGAATCAAGCCTAATGAAAAACATATATGTTACTACTGTGTTTTTTTAATCTCATGAAGTAGGAAAATACTGATATGATGCTATAGGCTATACATAAAGAGCATAATAATCAGAGAGCAGACTGGGACAAAAACAACATCAAATGCCTGCGAACAGCATCTCAGTTATCTGGTGGTGAGCTTACCTCAGTCTAAGTTGTCTGACAGAGTTGACGTGTGTTGTGATGACCCATGATTACACCCTCTTGACCTTTTTCTCTGACCTCAAGTGGGTGTTAGAGCACAGTCCTCGCACAATTTTTGGAGACTACAACCATTGGTAAGCACAGTACATGGAAACCAAATGAGACGTGCTAATTTTTGAAAATAACCCCGTATAAGTTTAACTGAGATTTATCTTTTTTTAGAATATATAACAGTTTAACCAAAAGAAAAAAAGAATTAAATATTCTTATTGGGCCTTTTCAATTTTGATGCATATTTGTCCTAGACGATGTAGAATTATAGGACATTAAAACTTTGTATATATAGTTTTCTATCTATAACATCAGTAATTATAAATTTGGAAAACACTCTCAAAGTTCAGTGAGTCGGAATGAGCCGCCTGACATGGTGAAAAGCGATGCCCCCACAAGCGAAAACCTCTTGACCTGTGGAATGACTGCAGGGAGGTGCTGGCAGCAAGAGGCTGATAGAGGCCACTCACTGGGACATCCTGGACATGTCTGCTCTGGCAGCAGGGCTCTGAAAACTGCCGCAAATACACACATCATCACACACAAAGACGTTATCTCTAAGGAGTGAAGAAGAAGAGGGGGCACTTTGGAGCTTAAAGTCGAGGGGAAGTTATTCTACACTGCATCCTAATGATAAGAAAAACAAACGCTTGAGTTAGATGTGTCACTCACCAGATATTATTAGATCCACAAAATCCAAATCGCACCTTTTCTGTGAATGCTCTGCTGTTCCTTGGTCTTTATACAGTATTTTATCAATATATTAATTTGCTAAGATCAGCCAAGCCAAGTCAGTTCGTCAGCTGACATTTAAATTTAATTTCACCATCAATAAAAAAGAATATGTTTTTGAAATGAAATGATGTATTTACACACCCACAGGCTGTTTTATTTATGGTAACTGCAAATACATATTTTTCTAATAATAATGTGCTTCTTTTTAATTGGAATGAAAGGCCATTCCATTGATTCTTGAGAGGGGCCGTAATAGCACCGTGCTGTGTGTTAATGTGTGTGTGTGTTCATGGTGACTCTACATAGCTCTTTGTCCTGCTTCATATTTTCATTTTAAGCTTTGATCACATTAGTGCTTTTCTCACCATGTTAATGTTAGTCAATGAATAGATGAATAAATATTCAATTAAGTCTGATATGTGTGTGTGGCAGTGTGTTTGAGTGATTGTGTGTGTGCGAGAGAGGTTGAGTGTGTGTATGTTGATGTGTAATGATGTGTAAATATATTTATGGCTCAGGGTCACAGTGGTATTAACCTGACCCAGACTCTGACTCTCTCCCTCTCTCTCTATCTATCTCTTGCGCTCTCCGTCTCTTGCTCTCTCTCTAGGGAACTGTTGTGCTGTTGTTCTGTGTTTCAGTCACTCACTTTCAGTCAGCTTTTGTGGGCCTTCTTCCTTATATTACCACAAACACACTAGGTCTGTGCTTGTGTGTGTGCACGTGTGTGCGTGTGACACAAGATACTTGTTTGACACCCAAAGGGTTCCATAGCTTTTTGGATATTATCTATCCATCATCTGGACTGCTTATCCTTTTTAAGGGTCGCAGGGGTGATCTGGAGTCAATCTCAGCTCATGGTGGGTGAGAGGCAGCGCACACCCTGTGCAAGTCGCCAAAGTTTTTAGGCTATCATTGGTAGAAGGGAAGAAAAAGGCATGTGGATCTTTTTTTGGGGGGGGGAAGTGAGATAAAGCTTTGCATTAATCCCTTGACTCAGCTGCCTCACAAGGGGAATGACTGCATCCTGCCCCACCTTGGAGTAGGGAAAGGTATCCAGTTAAACGTCCCATCAGTCAAGCATATGCCAAAGGCCTACATCTTATTCAAGTTTTAAACCTCTAATTGGTAACGTTTAAAAGGCGTTTAAGTGTGCCCTTTCTTCTCCCTTTTCTCATTTCCCATTTAATGTGTTGTGTCAAAGTCTATTACCTCAGTTGGACGTTTCTGTCCCTTAAGTTGAAAAGGGGCAGGAGGGAGGGGTGAGGGAGAGAGAGGTGTAGAGAGGGAGAGAGAGGTGTAGAGAGAGAGAGAGAGAGAGAGAGGAGTGAAAAAAAGAGAAGCCATCAGCTGAGGTTTGCCAGGTCGATAAAGCTTTTAGATTTGGAGATGTTTTCAGGGGGAGCCCATTTCCTGCGGCTAAGAGTTGTTAATGGAGCTTAAGGAATTATCTTATGACTCTCGCTTTGAGAGCAGTTTGTTTCAGCCCGGACCTCGCTGCTGTGTGTCGGAGTGGCTGAATATGCTGCTGTCAAACCCGCTTAATGAAAAGTAACGCGTCGCTGATTACAGTTTTATTTGGTCTCTATGTAAAAAGCCCCTGTTAATTTACCATCTCGCTCCCTCTGTGTGTTCGTATTTGCCACGGCTGAATGATTTAGTTATAGTCTCTCTCTCTCTCTCTCTCTCGCTCTCTCTCTTACTCCACGTCTCTTTCTCTCAAATAAAAAGCCACTTGGTTCAGAGGTCTAATAAAACCTGTCCTCATGCTAAATTAATTAAATGCTTTGTTGTGTTATCTGTGGGGACTTAAACTCGGGCCCTAATTTATCTATCGTAAGGTTTATTAAAAATTAAAAAAAGGCAAATATGAATAATATCAAAGTCAGTACGGGAATATGTATAAATATATCATCTCCTCCAGTTTATTTTGCCCCATGTCAACTTAAGAAATGCTGCAGGCAAGGTTTATATATATTTATATAGAAAATCCCCTTTGTCCACCATAGCACTTTCTTGCAAGAGATGGTGTGTGTATGTGTATGGGGGGGTCTCGATCGTTTGTGCTTTTCCCATTAAAATTCATCACTGAAGCCCCCCACCTCACCCCTCCTCACAGGACAGACCGAGTCCCCCGAGAGCTCCACTTTCGCCATTACTGTCAAGTACCCTTGACTCCTTTCGTTTTGCCCTTTTATCTACAACAACTAATTCGAGTTCCTTTGCCCTTTTCACTTTTAGACGTGGTGAGGGCCTCTCTCGTAAAGCCCTTTCACTTTTCAGGAGAGGAATCAGCATCTATCCTGTTTTTTTTTTCCTCTTCACGTCTCTAGGAAATTGAGGGGTTAGTGTCAAAACGAAAACTCCTCACTTCACATTATTTCGCAGGGGGGGTCTCCTTTTTTTGAACCCATTAGTGGACGTATATGGCGAATAACTTACCCTTTTGACAGCTGCATCATGGACGGTGTTGAGATGTTTCGATAATATTATCAGAGAGCAACGAGGGGAAATCAATAGACTGACATGAAATATGACTGCGAACATCCCAATTACAGCCTGTTTAGAGGGAATTAATGAGGCAGATCTTAGATACTGATATTGCTCTGTCTTGAGGGTTGAGCAGCCTCATTTTCTCGCTGTCACTGAGCGAGAGTGAATGCTCTCTGGGAGAAAAAAGGAGAAGCTTGGAGATGTTGAAGTACGCCTGTTTTAACGTGTTAAAAATGAAGTAGAATGATCAAACTGTTTTTACTTTAATTAAAAAAAAAGAAATCCTAATGTGTCCTAGTTGTAAAAGACAGAAAAAGAAAAAGTGGCGAGGCCTGTATTTCAGCACCATGGACAGCAACTCCCACCACGAGCCCAGCGTCAGAAAGCGACTGCATTTTATTTTCAGTGAACAAAGTTGAATCGCCCCCCTCCCCCACTCACTGGGAAGAGCTGTGCATTAGTGAGACTTTTTTTCTTTTTCATTTAATAGTGATACTCAACTGCTGAGACCTAAATAATATTCAATTACATTTGCATGCGCATAGTAAATAAAAAATAAAAATCATGTAAACCTCAGGCCTATTTCCCCTCCCCCCCAAGATGTAAACTGTTTTTATACAATTCGATAAGTTGTGTGCGTGCGTTGAATCAAAGAAGCCAAACGGATCCGATAATTATCTCACTTGTGTGACGCCAATGTAACAGTATACATAGCTACCATTGAAAAATGAGTAAAACATAATGAAGGGGGGGACATGGAGACGCGATAGGCTTTTCCATTCGACTCTCAGTCACAAGTCTGTGTCTTTTTGCATTAAAGTCGTCGTTTTGGTTTCGTTAGGAACAAAAAAGTTTGTTGATGGTTTTGGGGAAACTCATGGCACTGCTGTCTTTGGAGGAGTCCTGCTGCTGCTGCTGCTGCTGCAACACCGCCGCGCTCCTCTCGGCCTCCAGCATGCTGCCTTTGGTGTTCGCGGTCCAAGAGACGGTGGTGTTGGTCAGGGCCTGGTTCAATGTGCTGTGCCTGAACAAGGGGTCGTGGAAGACCCCGTCCACCCAGTTTCGCAGGGTCGTGACCGGCGAGTCCTGCCTGTTGTCCAGGCCGGCCACGGGCGAGGTAGCGGCGGGGGACGGGGTGAGGGAGGAGGGCGGCGGCTGGCACCTCAGCATGCAGGACGGGTACTCAGTCTGGTTCAGGGACGTGGCGGTCTGGGCCAGGGACCAGATTCGGGGTTTCCCGTCCAGTATCTGCTGCTGCTGGTTATAACACGCCTTGGCCTGCTGCCTGCTGTCCGCCTGGAAATCCTCCGGGTTCGTCTTGAGACAGCTTTTGCTCAAGTCCTGCTCCCCCCCGAGAGAAACGGGGATGGAGAGTTTCAGAGAAGTGTCCTTGAGGAGGTGCTCGGCGGGGCAGTCGGTCGTCGTGGACATGTGCGTGTTCATGTGGTATCGGTGCTTCAGCTCGCACTCGGAGCTCTCAGACTCCAGCGTTTCGAAGTCGTCCAGATCGCTGAGCTGCAGGTCCTTATCAGCCCGACTCCTGGTCTCTGGGAGAAAGAAGAGAGAGGAGACGTGTGAGTGGAAGATATGGTGACACATGCACGATCAGATCTGAGAACGGCATGGAGGACAGAATCAAACACTGAAATTCACATCATATTCATATTCAATCTCACGGTTGTAAAATGACAGCTGTTCGATTTTCTATAGCCTGATCGTTGCAATGAACACGCACAGATTCAATATAACCAAAACAACTGTACGTTTTTATCAGTCATCAATTATATAGGCTAACACAAATAGCCAATTTATTGACAGTATTGGTCAATTTAAGTCTGCATCAGATAAGGTAGTTGGTGAAAGTCAACCTCATCACTTCAGGTTTGTGTCTGTGTGAGACACACTGAGGCCTGTTCCCTGCTCAAGGCTACATGTTTGTTATGTTGAATAAAATCTATATCAGGCTGGCGCAGAAAATTTAAATAATCAATGTTGTTTCATTTAGCATGTGGAGAAAACCAAAATGTAATAATATTTTCAAATCCATAAAGTTGTCATTTTTTGGACAAAGTGGATACTGTTTAAAAAAAATCTTCTTAAGGCCTCAGTGTCATTTATTTCTAATTATCATCATCATTAGTAACAGAATCACAACCTAATATTCTGGTTATAATTGAAAAAACAAAGTTGGAATAAAAAAAGGCTCATATAGGGTGACACTGATAAAGAGACCTGTGTAGAAAATATAAAAACTCAAATAAAGTGGCAATTTTTCCACAGTACTTGTTCTAGTTTACAATTTGAGCAACAAATACATAAATACAAATTTGGCATCATGGCAACTACATCAAAGTCTATATAGAATGTCATGGCTATAGAGAAATAAAAATACTGTTGTAGATGTGGTTGCTGTGGAACATGTATGATGTCCCGCTGAGTTCTTTTTAAAATTTTATTTTAATGACCATTATCATTTTAATCATCATCATATCTCAGAGTGGATTAGTAATGTGTTTTTTAAAAGTTGTCAAAAATGATTTTTTAAACACATGTATCCATATTTGTTTTGTATTCCAAACAATTCTCCATATTCATGCCACTATAAGCACCTCTGCTGTTTTTCTTTTAAACTTTCATCAACATAACTATAAGAGGCTTCTCATTTCACCACAAACATAGCGACTCATTTTAACTTTATTTCTGCAGAGCAACAAGGACTTTTGACACTGACCATCTTCATTGTTTTCACTTTTTATCTGCTCCTCCTGAGACCCGTCCTCATCATCGTCATATCTCTTCTCCTCCGAGCCCTTGTTCCTGGGAGGCCACGTCATCTTGTTCTCCTTCTTGAGCCTCCTCCTGGCGTTGGCGAACCAGGTGGAGACCTGTGTCAGGGTCATCTTGGTGATGATGGCCAGCATGATCTTCTCGCCTTTAGTCGGGTATGGGTTCTTCCTGTGCTCCTGCAGCCAGGCCTTCAGCGTGCTGGTTGTCTCACGCGTGGCGTTCTTCCTCCTCGTTCCCCCGTCCATGGAGCCATATCTGTTGACGAGAAGAACATGGACAAACTGGGGATGAGAGGTTGAATATGCCGTGTGATGCTGTGGCTATGTGTTAGTGTAATATTGGAGATTTGTTTCTTTTATCCCATCAAAACTATGACAGAGCCCTGCTTGTTGAGATCTTGGTCAATTGATGCATATCATGCTTTATAAGACAGAAAGACCCATTTATATCTGCTGCTATAATGAAAATTAAACTTAGAATTAACAAAACACTTATTTAGAACAAAAAAAAAAACTTTAAACACAACCGTACAATGCATATTGTTTATTCCTTAAATGTACTGTGTTTTTATTTTATATCATTGTTTCATATATTCAGACATAAGACTTGGATCTGCTAGGATCCTGTGCAGCAAGTGCAAGAGCTGCAGGAAAATGGAAGGCAGGCTTGACTTTGTTGTACATGATTTCATATGAAACCCCTCCAACAATCCAACACTGCTATTTTCAATCAATATGCACATTTAAATTAGTCTAGTTTTACCAGTAAAAATGCCATGTTTATTTTATTCTCCATCCCTTCCAATGTACAGTATTATCCATTAAAACCATTCCTGGCACAGCACGACTCCTTTTCACGACACTCTCTCTCTCCTCTCGCACAAATATTTCCCATGGACTTACATTTAAAATGCACGGTGTTGATTTTCAGTCAGCAGTGAGCTGTAAAAGTCCTCTCAGGGGAGGCTTTTATGAGGCCTTTATTGCTCCGTATAGCTTAGTGCAGGTCAAGCACTGCTAAGGGAATCAAAAGGGAGTGGAGCGCTGTACATTTCCTTATACCCCGCGCTGTGCCCTCACAGATAAAATAGACTGTAAAATTGCTTTATTGAGTGTAATGATGAGCCCTCAGGTAAGAGACGAGTGCAGCTGGAGTGGTAGTGCTGTAGGCCTGCTTGTTTATCTGAACGCTGCTGATTATGTTCTGCTTTAGACTCAGGCCTTTTCGCTGTATGTGCACTTATTATGACGCCTGCTGAAACATTTGGCACTTAGTGAATTTAGACTGGTTGGTAAAGGGCCCCTTGTTTTTTTGGGGGGGGGTGATGTAAACTCTCATGAAGCTTCAAGACTAATCAATAAGACACTTGAGAGACTGGGATGTTTCCCTGTGCACTTCTGTTGATCACAATCCATTTAATCACGTACTGTTATAATCCATGCCCTACATTTAAATGGCACCACATACTTTATTTGGAAATAATCTAATCTTAGGACGACCTTGTCAGTATGACAGTATAATGCTCCTCAACATGGAGGCCTCAGGTTTTTGCTTTACGAGGCAATTCACACCATCAGGAGAGAAATATTACATGGAGGTCGATTCCAAATGTTGCTAGATGTAATGAGATTGGCGTTGACCTCTCATGGATAGATATTCTGTAATGCTGGAAAAGTCGCCCTGTACACTGGCGTACATTACTATGAAAGTCCCAAATTTCCTGAATTTTACTTAGAGATGAAATAAGTCAAGACAAAGATGTTTCTAAGATCACATTTCCATAAAGTCCACAAACAGCTCTTTCAAAGTTTCTGATGCTTGCATTGACAATCAGGTTACTTTCATTAGAAAAATAGACATCACAGTGTCATGGAAACGACCTACCTGTCGTACTGATACTGTCCCAGGGTAGGATCATAAGGGTAGTAAGCTGTCGCCTGGGTTATCCCCGCATGCGCAGACGCGGTGGCATCTTTAGTGTCGAATGTGCCCTGCAATCAGATGACAAGTGTTTGAAAGAGTGACACATTTATGAAGACAGTTTCTGATCATTTAGCTAAAAAATCACATCAGCAAAATATATACTGGTTGTATTTATGTTTGTTTTAAATTAATGAGCGGTGTTGATCAGGGTAATAGTTGATGGTACATGATGTCGGAGTACTAGAGAAATAACCATAGTGGTGAATGACACATGGAACTAAACCACAGGGATAAATTGTCATGAACCTTAGTGAAGACAGAAGTTTTAAAAAGACTTTCAAAATAAGTGTTTAAAAATGTGTTTAAAGGAAAACAATAGGAACTGTAAGTTTATGATTTTGACAGGATTCTGGACAAACACATGTCACATCTTCTAAAGTATAAACTGTAGTAATTATTACAGATCAATCAACAAAAGTTTTTCTTTTTGCCCTTATCATCACATTCTCATGAACATTGTCACCACTTTCAGAATTTCAACACAAAAACAACCAAAAAAAAACGGTTTCATGGTTAAGTCTGACATAAAAACCTTTGAGAATCCACGTTAACAGACTTTTGTTAATTTAACAATCACTCAGCCTTCAATGTCGGTCTACTTGTAAATATTTTTCAAGGCAGGTTTGTTATTCATAGCTTTTTTCTGACTGCTTCCATAAAAAGTATTTCTCTCAAGATAAATAGCCTATTCACCTGAAACAAGTGAGCCATATCTTGCTATGCTGAGGCGTATTTTTCATTTACTAAAGACAAGTTGGCTTGAAAGGTGATATGGGAATAAATCACTGTACAGCAACGGGCTGGTATTTTGCGATGCAGTGCATAATACAAAAAGAGAGAGGAGAGGTGTGAGCCTGAGTCTCAGCACCCTGCGGCTCCATTAATCAATGCCAAGAGGGATCAGATGAGGGGGCTTACCAGCGAGTAGAAAGCCGAGGCGTCCGTGCCATATGTAACGTAATTCCCATAGCTTTGACCGCCGGTGTAGGGGCTCCCGTACACGCCCAGCGCGGCGGCGGAGCTGAGCTCATGCCTCGCCGTGGCCAGCAGCCGGCTCTCGTACACGGGGCAGTAGACCGGTGTCTGGCCGGGCGCCGCTACTCCGGAGTCGGCTATGGATCTGCCGGTGGACTCGCAGCAAGTGGTCAGAGAGTTGGTTGTCATCAGAAACTAAAGGTGGAGACCGAGAGAGAATTAACTTAATAAATACAAGGTGGCAAGAAAAATCCGATTTTAAGCTTGAGCGACTGAGTGCAGGAGTTAGTTCACAACTTTATTTGTTTCCATTATTAAGAACAAATCGTCCTAACGAAATAAAATCTGAACTTTGACCTTCTCCAATACACTCAACTCGTCAAAACGCAAGATTACGCACGATTTAAACAAGTTTTGGACAAAAACGATTCTGCTTGTTTGCAAATAAACACGTCGTTGTTCGCAGCTTTTTTCACCGTTAATCCCGAAGAAGTAAAATACAGCATAAAATGACATGTAAACACTTATATCTGATGATGGAAGATGCGTCACATTCTGCTGATAATCTGCGCGTAAAAAGTGTCCAGAACGAGCCGTGTGTGAGCTGTGATCGTTACAAACAGATACAACATGTTTTCCCAACATCGCTCTTTAGATACCCCAAAGGATTTTTTATGGCTCAAAGCCAAAAACAAAACAGCAGCTGGGTTAAGGCTCAAAAAACAACACACACGCAGCGTGTACAGAACAAGTTGGCATGTGCGTCCCGGCGCAAATAAACATATGGCTGACATTAGAGAGCGGTTATTATCTCGCAGAAATCAGTGAACGGGGAGGTCGGGGGGTCTCGCTGGTTTCTGGTTCCCCCTCTTCTTACCCTTTTTTTATCTATCGCTGCAGGAGCGCAGGTATCGCTGTCTGTAACGCAATACCTTTTTTCCGATACGCGGAAACGCAGTGGAAGCATCCCGGATTCTTGGCCAATAAAGCGCGTAAAAGCACCAAGCTTAAATCGATGAGATAATCAATCGCAGCAATATCAAAAGCAAAAACAAAGGCAGCTGCGTGTACTTACTTGTGGAGCAGACGAGTAGGGATATCCAAATTGTGGATATGACATGGTAGAGAGGTCCCCCAATATCCAGAAATAAAGCGAGACTGAAGGTCTCCACTCTCACGCAGGCTGCGGCTGTTTGACTGTACCAATTGATTGGTAAGCACAGGCTCCTAGGATGCTTATAGGGCGAAGCAGAGTAGCATGTTTAATTTGTGTAAAATGCCCCCCACTCAAACGCCTTTCAGCGGGGAGAAGAAAAAAATAAAAAATAAATAAATAAATGGAAGAAAATCTCCTGTTTTCTTCTTTTACGCCGTCTTGTAGAATAAAAACTGTTGGATACAAATAAATGAATTAAGGCGACGCACAGCCCTTCTCTGCCTGGAATAATCACTTTGCTGTCAGATACATATTTTTGCCTTATAAAAAAGTAGTATAAAAGACGTCAGCAGCAGAGGCAGGTTGTTTTAAACGGCAGTGACTCTGACGTCAGAAGTTTCCCACTCTAAAAATGACCAGACTGTAACTTTAATATGCGTTTTTTTTCTTTTTCAGCGTGACGACACAAACAGAAAGAACTGAGCAGAGGATTTTACATGAAATCAGAAAAGGAGTAATGTTAAGAAAAAAAAAGAGATTCATTTGCAGTCCCAATCCATCAGTTTAGGTCAATCAGTGTCTTGAATATGCAAACGTATGTATCAGTTGAAATGCATTAGGGTTAATTAAGCACATTCCTATCGTTCCTCCGCACTAATGCTAATCACAAGGGGAGCTAATTGATTTTAAATTAATTAGTAAAGAATATTTCATTGCCAGTGCAGAGACAAACTGCTGACTGAACAAGGAATGCCAAACATTTTTAAATGCAGTTAAAAAAACACATTGGTATTTAATTCTTAAAAAAAAAAAAATTTCTATAATATGATAACCCAGAGCAGATAATATGTTGGATGTTCCAACTCCACCTGGAGCAACTAGTCCCTGGAGTGTTGTAATTACAGCCAATGAATCCCCAACAATCTGCTTAATAGGTTGTGGTTTGAATGAACTTTGTACCTCTTGACATGAACTCAACACACGTCTCAGGGCAAATTCTGAAATTAGAATTCTTCTTCCATACAATGTATATAGTTTAATCATATGTGAGCTGGACATTCTCTCCAAAATAAACATTTTAGTTCGTAGATCTGAAAGTGCTTTTAACTTTACATAACTTTCATTTCAACAAAACATTACTACAGATTTCCACCCATCCTTTCCTCCCCCTCTCTCTGTCTGTCTCTCTCTCCTCCACGAGTGTTTGTGGTCACTACCATGGTCACTGCAGCCAAAATCCTCCCAAAACACGAGCTCGCCCACAGCAGCTCTGGCACCGGTGCGCACTGCCTTTCGTTGCTTGGAGAATCCCGGGTTGAGACATGTGGATAGCCCCGGGGGTCACTCCTCAAATTAATGATGATGTACTCCTCCTCCTCCTCCTCCTCCTCCTCCTCCTCCTCCCTCTCTCCTCTCCAGCTGGATCTGTGCCTGCCGGTGACAGGTCGATTGAGAGTGATTGATGACTATCTAGGGGACCGGGGCCAACATAATAATATGATACCGGCACCTCGCAATAATTGCCCCGCTTTCATTTACAGATGAAAGAAGTAATGAAGAGCTATAAAGATGTATATAGTGATGCCTGTATGCGCTTTGGTTAAGTAACTTTTTGTCTTTGACTTTCTCTGGCCCCCCCCACCCTCTTTTTTGGGTTATGTGGGAGGGTGGGCTTCTTATAAAATGTCTGATCCCTCATTCATTTTGACAAATTGAATTATAGGGGGGTTTGTACCTCCGAGCAAATGGCCGCATTAACGTTGTGTAGGGTGTGTGTGTGTGTGTGTAAGGGGGGGGGGGGCCCA